TGCCTCTCACAAAGGACAAAGAAGATGTTCACTTCAAGCTCCAATATGGGGGTCCTTAGGAGCACTTTTTGAGTAATCTGAGATGGAATAATTGAAATGTGATTTTTTTTTAAATTGAAGACTGGAACGTACCCAAGGGTTGCTAAGTGTTCTGAGCTTACTGTCTGCATCTACCTAAAGGCTGTCTGTTGACAGAGTACTCTCAGTGGCACACAGTGTGATCAACATGTGAATGACAACTGTTAGTCATACTGTTCCAATGTCTTCAATCACTGGCCACATCTGGACAGTTGTTGCTAAGTTAGGGTAATGGCTGCAGGGGATGTTTAGAGGAGTCAGCAGGTTCTTTATAGTTCAAGAAACAAGACAAAACCTCTCCTTAGTCTTCTCTGGTGTTCTATACCATTGAAGGATAGCGGTACATATAAAGAAAATCACATGTTGCCACCAATATTTCATTCTAGCACTAGTTTAAATATATATTAAAATTATTCCATAATAAACGAGGATGAGGATGTACACAAGGATGCCATCATTTAGCTGTGGCTAGGGTAGAATAATGATTAAACACTATGCGAACTGAATTAGACTGTTGTGAGACAGGTTAGTTTTACCCTACTGATGATGCATTGCCATGATAGTAATCCTGCTCAGTATGAGAGGAAGCACAGGTTCAGACATTTGGTGTATGTGCTTGATTGAGGCACTAATGGGGTAAAGCTACCATCTGTGGAATTATGACTGAAGGCCTCTAAGTCAGAATGCGCCCTAAAGGTGACAATACTGCAGTGCTGCAGAGCCCTGGTTGGTCTGGGATAGCCGCCCCCCCCCCACCCTTTTGCTGAGGCGGGGGGCAGCGTGTACTGCTGCTCTTCTCTGGACTGAAGTGCAGACAGAAGAGGGACACCTTTCTCCTGGAGCGCATTGCATGTTCGTTGGGAACCCGGTGCTAAATCATTCGTAGACAAGCTGAATCTGGGTCAGGGGTTTGTGCATAGCAGAGCATCCCTTGAGTCAAGTCTTTTATAAAATAAAAAAGAAGAGAAAATATAGAAAATGGAGAAAAAAAAAATACTATCCTGTGTTTTGCTTGGGAAATGGAAAGATATACTTTATATATGTTTAAAGCCACTGGAAGTATCAAGCATGTCAAAAGCACCAAAATGAACTTGAAAAACAGCTCTGCAGTTTTTAGTTGAACACAAAACCCAGAAGAGCATATTCCTGACATCTTTTCCATGACTTTACATAGTCTGCATCTGCTAAGGTACATTGCTGACAAATTAGAAAACTGGAGAAGCAGCTCAACTGAGAAAATTAAATTAAGTATGGAAGTACAGAAGAATTTGTATTGCAACTAAGGACTTTTGACTACCTCTTTTATTGCAACAAATGATTAATGACTACTCTTTGTCAGATACATAATTCAACATGCATTTTATTGCACCAACAGCCACAAGCCTTTACCACGTCTTACAGAGTATTCCAATATTGTATTTGTCCTTTCTATACTTACATGTACAATGTATGTAAGTACAAGAGCAACTTTACTGTTTTAGCTCTCAATCCTCACCCACCTGTTCGCCACAAATGACTGAACAAAGACCACAACTCTGTGTTGATGTATGCAATAACACATTCCTTAACTTTGTTTTTGCTTGGTGGGTGCAAAATAATAGTTAAGAGAATGAAGAGAAAATGAAAATAGTAAAGGTCTTGCATTTGATCAATAAATGTTCAATAAAAAGAGGTTTATCTGCAGTATTTGAAGAATAAGAAATATGTGTTTGTGTGTTGAGTCCTCAGAGATATGGCTAGCCATTGTTAAACAATGGTTTTCCTTATTTTAAATGTTACACAAATACACAGTAAAGTATACAGTACTTTAACTACAGGTTATACAGCTTTAGGGGATTTAGTCCATTGACAAGGATACAGGTCAAAATTATAACAAAAAAGTCAAGCCTACAAAAAAAACAACTTTAAAATACAACTGACATGTTTTTCGCCACGTAAATTGGCAAAAAAGACATTCAGTAAGACATTTGTGATTAATAATGTGACATTAGAAGTGCATTATTGCATGTAATTCAGCGAGTTCTTCCCCTTGTTTTCACCTGCTATGATTAGGGGATTTGGCAATGCATAACCAAATTTTGCAAAGATTTTTACAACCAGATAAAAAAAAAAATCACACATATTTGCATATAGGTAAAGCCCTGGATACTACTGTTCATTAGCCCTACAGTGTGTCTAAAATTTTTAACAATTCTGCAGATAAGAGCTGATTACTACTGATTTGTAATTTATTAAGATATGTAAAGTGTGACTTATGTAGCTGTACATGGGCCCCTGTGATCTTGGAGCTCCTTGAAGATGAGTTGTAACATACTTTTACATACTACATTCTTGGTTTGATCGGGATTTATTATAATGTGCGTTTTCATGGATCCTTCTGCACCCCAGGTTAGGTTTATCAATATAAAGACTAAGCCACAATCTCTGACACAGCACTTCAAGTACAAGCCCAGAACCCGTTCTGAGGTCACCTGGAGGAAGCCAGCCCCACCTGCTGGAACCACAGAGACAGAAGTCAGCACTTACATGACTCGAAGCTCAAAACAAGGTGTCATTATATTGGTAGCAAGGAAAGTCGGTCAGTTGATATACGTATAAGAGGACAAGATGAATAATATAATGCTACACTGAGAATTTCTGTATAATGCACAAATACTAAGCTTTGGATTATGCAAGAAGATATTTAAATTACATAGAAATCATGCAGTTTGATATTTCTGAGCATTATAGATTTTCTGTACAGTATTGTCTAATTTTACAAAATAAAGCTGACCATACATTATACAAATTTCTTATTCAATTTCCTTTAGATTTACCCTCAACTGTGTAGTGCAAGGGCCTGCCTAATTGCATACACATTGAAAGTGTTTAGGCTTGACCATATTATATGGCTTTGGTAAATCTAAAGGAAAATTGTTCAAGAAAATTGTATAATGTATGTCCAGCCTTAGTAAAGTGCACATCCCAGTATATTTTTCAGCCACATTTACAATGTCAATTTGAATATGGGACAAGCATAGATCTATACTCAGACAAAAAACGTTCACAAAAAAACAAAACAAAAGACTCACCCCCCCCCCCCACTCCAAAAAAAAGCAAAGAAAAAAAAAAAAAAAAAAACGGGTAGACTTGATGGACCACTTGGCCTTTTTTTTGCTGTCACTTTTCTATGTTTCTATGAATTCATTATTTAGTACTTGCATATTCAATAGTGCTATACACAGAGCACTAATCCTTTTACATCAGTCTATGCTCCACAGGAGCTTACACTCTAACACCCCCACCCCTACAGATATAAAGGTCTAATTATATTCTATGACTTGTCCCATTTATTATGATACTAAAATTTATACTTAAGCCTAATTTTAAGTAGGCCTTGATGCTTATGCTACAACAAACACATACAAACTGAAAAAAAAAATCCAATTAAATGAATACACAAAATTATTTCTGTAGGAATAGTTTAAAAAATTTTACAGAAAAGTCAGCAAAAACCTTCTAAGAAGAGCTGGGAGCAGGAGGTGATAATTAGAGCTAGGTAAGGATAACAGGTTAAATAGGAAAGACATTAAGGGCTCATGGACATGAGCGGTTTGGCATTTTTTGACACAAGGGAGGAACAGGTTCAGCATACAACCCGCTGCCATCAATCTGTCAACAAAGACAGGCTGAAATATACAATATCTGTACATGGCTGGATTCTAAGTTGTGCGTGCATGCGTTTATGGCTGTATGTGTATAGGGATAGAGAAGAGAGATAGCAGCGCCACTCTAAGTGTAGAAGGTTAAAATCAGGCAGATTTAATGGTAAAATTGCACTCACATAGGTAGGTAACAGGTAGGCATGTAAAGTGATGGAGGTCCAATAGGAGCATCAGGTCCTTTGGCCATGCTCTGGATGTTTTCCCACCGCTCCGGTGGTGTCCAGGGCTCGGGGAGTAGCAGAAGGGCACAGGGAGGCTTGCAAGGATGATGTCACTGCATGGACCAGGTTTCCAAGATGGCGTGCATTCAGAGCATGCTCGCTCCTTCGTCAGGCCGATCAGACAGTGATAAAAACCTAACCCTAACACTCTATAAAGCAACGGATGTGGCTTTCACCAAACATTCACTGATGGTGAACCAATTACAGTCATTTAAAGCATATATACCTGAGTGTTTCACCTGTAGTGATTGTTTGGCGACTGCTTTATAAATAGGCCCCTAAGCATACAAGCAATAGAATTATACAGTTTACACTTTTAAAAGCAGTTCCAATAGTTCTATCCTCCCCAGTTCCCTTTAATTAGAACAGTCGTTTAAAAATTCAGTTGCCCTAAAAGGATGTGAATTGTAAGGAAGCAGGTGATTGCGCAAGCCAGAGTAGCTTCAAGGCCAATTTAGGTAAACAATGAATCCTAAATGACTCACATTTACTATTTGTCCCTTTATTAGTGTAAATGACTCCCAGCCAAAAAAGACATTATAAAAATGATTTTAAATACTTTGGAAATTATTTTTAAATTACGTATCTTTTCCCCCACACAGCTTTTTAGAGTTCATAATGATACATATTTTTTCACATAATTGCAAAGCACACTTGTTAATTAAATTATTCTTTAATTAGTTAGCTAATGATTTTAGCCATACATTGCTTTCAGAACTTTCAATTCTTGTTGTATAGTAATTATATATAATTAAACTGCATCTGGGCTTTTTTTTTCTTCTAGTACGTATGCTGATTATTATTATCCTCCCCCCCCCCCCCTTTAAAAAAAATCAACATGCTTTCAATGAAGTAAGAAAACAAGACATGGCAAATACAACATTTTGCAGTGGTTAATTAGACACTAATTATATGCTGAGGAGGAGAGGAAGAATGGTATTCAACGGAAATGCAGAGTTCTGCAAACAAAAAAGAGATACTGGAGTGTTTTTCTTACCATTTTGCTTAACTACATTGTCTTTCAACCAATGTATTGCCTTCAAACAGTCCTTCTCATCTTGCAGAGTAAAAAGGTTTGATGGAATTTTGCCGATGTACCTTAGTTTGGAGCAATCAGGCACTTCGTTGTTTGTCAAAAGCTTGGTTATATTTCCTCTGCTGGGAGAAGGTATCTAGGAAAGAGGACAGTTCAATGTAGACTGTATATACATCTTCTCCCCCAAAACATTTCTATACAGTAAAATAACCTGACTCGAGTAGAAAAGTCCCGAGTTGCCAACCTGCCAGCTAGCTGTATGTACAGTGTATGTCAGAAAAAGTGTACGTTAACAGTATCAAATAAGACAGCCCCATAAGGATCTACTGCTTGCTTAGTCTAGGTCAAATTTTATTTACAGAAAATTACTTACCTTATTCCTTGATCCTGTAGGCTTCCTCCACATAGATTCTGGTATTGGAAACTGGTTTGACAAAACCGCTACTTCAGTCATATGGCCACCTCCTTACTTTCAGCACATACAATGCAAGAATAGGAGACATCACTGGTTCTGCAATGTACATGATGATGTTGAAGACCTTCCCACATTCTGGGAACACCGTCTGTCTGAGTACCAGATTGATCAAATAATAAGATAAGTATTCCTCCCTATTACATCCCTCTAGATTAATGGAATTTAGATACTTAATATATAAGGGGACGGTAGAGAGAGTTACATGTATTTTTTGTAAGCTGACTGTTCAGCTTTTAGAGAAATGTACAAAAATAAAGTGTTATGTGATACAGCTACAAGCACCCAGAAGTTCGAAGACCTAGCTATCAGCATGAGATGAAGTAGTTTAGATGGCAGCAATTGTCAGAACTAAGGTGCCCCTTAGTTTGAACATTTGTGCTTCTGTGCTGTCTTTGTTTGGTTTTTCAAAGCTTCATCTATTTCTAAATCCTTTCAAATTACCAATATCAGGAGATCTCAGACTCTAAATGTTATCCAATGTGGTGTATTTTTGCCTGTATCAAATGACTGAACAGAATTATAATGTTATTACAATATGTTACTTCCATTTTTGCTTTTAAAACACTGACACCTAAAGTTGGAGGCATTAATAAAAATGGTGAAAAAAATAGTGCCTTGAACCTAGCTGCTTTCCAATACTCCTACTTAAAGTGGTTTTAAAGGTGAGACAATTTTTACCGTAATGCATTCCTGTACCATGTGATTAGCTGTAGCCAATCACATCATCACAATAGTAAGCAAGCTGTCATGAATGAGAGCTATTCATGTCAGTTAAAACTATTGCTTATAACAGTGATCCTTACTGTAATAAGCAATAATAACATAAAAGAAAAAAAATCCCTGCTCACACCCTCCAGAGTAGTACAGTGACTATTGTGACACTGAACTACTCTGATCACAGTGTGTAAAAAAAAAACATTGTAAAAAAAGGAAGAAATCATAAAGTTTAAAAAAAAATTGTATTTAAAAAAATATTTATTTTTACATACTGTCACCAGTCAGTATCCCTGATCACCGCCACACCAGTCATACACCATACTGCACTAGTGACAGTATGTAAAATAAATTGTAAAAAAAAAAACAAAATTGTATATAATTTCTTCATTTTCCCAAAAATTGTGACAAAAAATTACAAATTCAAAAAAACTTTCCATGCCTCTTACTAAATACCTTGGACTGTCTACTTTCCAAAAAGGGGTCATTTGAAGGGTATTTGTACTGTCCTGGCATTTTAAGGCCTCAATAAACAGGCCATCAGTACTGATCAATTTTCATATATATATATATATATATATATATATACACACACACACACACATATACATACATATACATACACATATATATACACCATAGTTTGTAGACACCATAACTTTTGCACAGACTAAATAATGTACACTGATTTGGGTTATATCTTACCAAAGAAGTGTAGCAAACTACATACTGGCGTAAATGTATGAAGAAAGATTAATTGTTTGCAATTTATTTTTTTAACAGAGACTAAGAAAGACATTTTTATCAAATGTTTTGGTATTTTTCATTTTATATAGCAAAAAAAAAATGTAAATGTTACTAAATCCTGGACCCTGCATTCACTCTGTCTGGTCTCCCACAGTACACAGAACATGGAAGTGCAATTATTTTATTAAATATAAACTGCTAAATGCCTTTTCTCATCAACAGTTAGAGCAGTATTGTGACTTCTATCAATGTTAAGCAGAGCACATGTTAAAGTTTGTAGGAGGAGTTTTCATTCTGCTCTAGGAGGATGCAGAACCACTGACCTCTGTCTGGACGGTGGTGATTGGCTCTGTGCTGATCACATGCATTCTCCCAAGAAAAAAAAAAACTCTCTAGCAATATTCACTAAACTGAGCATTTGCAGAGTGACTTATCAGATATGACTTATCAGGAGATAAAAGGGGGACACTGGAAGAAGGGGAAGATCAGAGAAGTCATGATCAAACAGCCTTTCTACATAATGCAGAGGATTAAAGTGATACTAAACCCAGGACCCTGTATTCACTATACCTGGTCTCCCACAGTACACGCAACATGGAAATGCAATTATTTTAGTAAATATAAACTGCTAAATACTTTTTCTCACCAACAGTTAGATCAGTCTTGTGACTTCAGCAGAGCTCTGGTTAGAGCTTGTAGGAGGAGGTTTATTTCTGCTCTAGGAGGATGTAAAACCTCTGACCCTCTTACTGGACAGTGCTGATTGGCCCTGTGCTGATCACATGCACCCTCTCCAAGAAAAAAAAACCTCTAGCAATAAACACCAAACTGAGCATGTGCATGTGCCCACGGGTTCAGTCTGTGTCAGGTGGACATTTCAACAAGAGGAGGGACAGAGAAAAAAGGATCAAACAGCCTTTTTACACAATGTAGAGGATTAACCAATTAGGTTCCACAATGAGTATAACTGCATATATCTATAACTGTATACTGCTTTACTGCATATACAGACTCATTTTACAGTTGTGGGTTTAGTAACACTTTAAATACCACCAAGGAAAGTTCTATTAGTGTGAAAAAAACAATATCAATTTCATTTGGGCACTGTGTTGAATGACCGAGCAGTTGTCGGATAAAGTAGCACAGTGCTGCAGAGCAAAAAAAAAAAATGCCCTGGTCATGAAATGAGTAAAACCTTCCAGAGGTTAAGTGGTAAAGAATAAACTGCTTACACCACCCTGCCCCCAATATACTACAGAATTAGCTTTCTTTTTTTTCTTTTTTTTTACATGGGGTTCCATTTAAGCACAGTTGCTTTTTATACAGGTTTAGCAGGTGGTCGCTTACTGACTGCTTCTACATATTGCTTTTTGCTCTGGTTTATGTTCATAGTTCTCAAATTTTGCTCCAAGTGATGTCAAGGATATTTATTTTTTCATATCAGCCTTGTCCAAACAACGTTCATCCAAATGCAAATTAAGCCAAAACTTTTTTTTTAGTTTTCTTTGTGTGGTAAAAGGTTAGAACATTTGTCAGATTTCTGTTGCCGTGTTGACACTAGGGATATTCTCTTATTACCAGAACTGAAAGTAATGGAATGTCCAAATTTTGAGTTGTCACCAGAACAGCAATAAAGGGGACTGCAGACAACTGTCTAAAAAGAGATTTCCCACAGTTTGGAGACATTTATTTCACTCACTTCTGGGCCTACAGAATAGGACATGAAAGGAATTCTCCCCAATTGGATAGAAATGGTAACTTTAAATTTTACTTAGGGATCAGGACACAACACTGTTACTGTACTGGGGTATATAATACATCAATATAAAACAGTAAACATATAGGAGGATTATTTATTATTGCTAAAAAATAGCCAATTCATGAACCAAAGTGCCAACACAACTAATTAACATTATGCAGACATACTGTATAATCAAAAGCAAAAAAAGAGAAATATAATTAGGAAAACAATCTAAAGCAAATTAAATAAAGTATGATTGATCACAAATGTGATCAACAGAAAGACAACTGTTTAGCTTCTTACTCAAGATTCTGTTCTCCACAGATGTTTAAAGCTTTAAAAAAAAAAAACACCCTAAAAAATAAATACACTATGGGCCCACCAAACCTGCCAAACACCAATTCAAAAAATATATTAAAAGACCACAGTGGAAAATTGGGTTTAGTTAAACCTAAAATGTATAAGTAGTAAAACTAAAACTAAAAATGTTGTCTTTCAAGCAATAAGTAAACATATATAAGAATGTTCAATCATATTTGATTTAATCCAGACCTGGGAAGCCCTAGGTTTAAGTAAACCCTTCTCCATTCCAAGATTCTTGAAGAGCTCAGTATTAGACAAATGCAATTTGTTTAGTTACAAATCAGAATTTAGACAAAATTTTCGTTATTCAGGGAATCAGATTTATCCGAATTTCTGAATCCCAATAGTAACAAATGTTAGCAAATCTGAAATAAATTATAAAGAAACTAATTATCTAAATTCAAAAGTGAATTCAAATTGAAAAGTGAATTTGAAAAGGTAACATATAGCAATAAATACAGTAAGGTATAAAAGTGAAATAAGATGATTCCTACTTAGGCCACTATATAGAATACAGTAAAATAGAAAATAAAAAATAGAATAGAAAAAGATATAATAGAATAAAACAATAGAATATAAAAGAATAGTATAAATACAATAGAATAGAAAAAAAATAGAATAGAATAAAACAGAAAGAATATAGCCGTCTTTTGAAATTTGAATTTCAAACAGAATAGAATAGAAAACTAGAATGATTATAGCCGTCTTCCTAAATTTGAATTTCAAAATTCGAACAGAATAGAATAGAATAAAACAGAAAGAACAGAGCTGTCTTTTGAAATCTGAATTTCAAATTTTGAATAGAATAAAATAAACTAGAAAAAATATAGCCGTCTTCTGAAATTTGAATTTCGAATAGAATGGAATAAAATAGAAAGAATATAGTCGTCTTCTGAAACTAGAATTTTGAAATTCGAATAGAATAACATAGAAATAATGTAGCCATCTTCCATAATTTGAATTTCGAAATTAAAATTTCAAATAGAATAGCAGAGAATAAAATGAAAATATAGCCATCTTCTGAAATTCAAATTTTGAATAGAATAGAATAAAATAAAATAAAAAGTATATACTGCATCTGTCTTCTGAAATTTGA